ACATGTCTTCAACATTCATTAACACAACATTAAACTTCAATTAAATACCAGTAAGAACATGAGTCTACAGCACAAAACTGCTATCAATATAAGGCTGGGCAACTCACTCAGTCTCACCCAGTGTAGAGAGAACTTTACTCTGTATCTAATCTCATGTTCTACCTGTCTGGGCTATAGTTGTTGGAACTGTTTTGAAGGACATTTACTCTGTATTGAATCTGTGTGGTTCCTGCCCTGGGTACGTTTGATGGGACGGTGTCGAGGGAAATGTATGCCCTGCCGCACTCACAGGATCCAAGTCGAAGATAAAATGGGGTCCTAGGCATCTCGAGGTAGGCTGTGGAGAGGCGGGGTAAGTCTAGTCTGAGATTTAAAGAGGAGTTGGGAAGGACCTTGAATAGACTGGGGTATTTGGGAGAGAAGCTTGCTCATGATACTGAACACAGAATGATCTGAAGATATTTCTCACATCTGTGTGTCGGCGACGAGGCTTCTTCTTGCTCAGCTTCAGCGCAGAATTCCTCTTGTCACTGCAGAATTGGGAAAATTGAGAACGTTTTACCATAAAAACAGCACATTGCTCTGCTCACACTGAGACCAAGCCACCCTCACTCACTCTTCACCCTCACCCTCAGTAACTCAGCCAATGTCATGTTAACGACACTGTCACCTCGCAGCATTATCTCAAGGAAAGGAGTGTCCCGTTCTGCCCTTCAGAGTTACTGGATCCTGAGGCCATGGGCAGGTTAATGGCTCATGGTCGCGGTCAGGATCGGTGTGAATTGTAACAAATGAAAGCACTGACAGCGTGGCCAAAGTCATGCCACTTACAGGAATGTGGATAACACACTCACTCTCTGAAACTCTCTGATCAGCGTCACTCACTGTCCATGCTCAATATTTACACAACATTGTATAAACTAAAACAGGTGCTTGCAGGGGAAATGTTTCTCGGGTATTTGGTGAAGCCACAGATTAGAATTCCTGCTCTTTTAAATGAAAAGGAACCTGATGAGCTTTGGCAGACTGCATTGGTCACAGACAAATGCCTTTTTACCTTTTGCTATCCATTCCGCTTTCATCCTCGTCCTCCCTGTCAGATGATTGCCTGGTCCGGGGTGGGCATGAGCGGGTTGAGACATTTCTGGCCAGAACAGACCCTGCGACAACAACAGGAGATTAAGGTGTTTCTAAATCTCTCCATGGCCTTGCCCCTCTCTAGTTCTGTTTTCCCCTCCAGCTGTACAGTCCCCTGAGATTTCCACACTCCCAAATTTCTGGCCTCTTTCACATTCTCGATTTCCACTGCTGCACCATTGGCGGCCTCACCTTCAGCTGTCTAGGCCCTAGGCCTCTCTCCAATCCCCCTATCTTTCTCTCGATCTTTCCCCCACCTGTCCCAACACCACCTCATGTGGCTCGGTGTCTACATTTTGTTTTATTACGTTCCTGTGAAGTGCCATGAGATATATTAAATAAATGATATAAATGCAAGTTGTTGCTGAGCTAGATCTAGTTATCCTTCACGTTAAGAATGTCCTTTTGCAAAATTTATGGCTTGAATCATAGAATCCCTACAGTGTGGAAACAGGCCATTTGGCCCATTAAGTCCAACTGACCCTCCGAAGAGCATTCCACCCAGACTCAACCCCCTACCCTATCTCTGTAAATCTTCATTTCCCATGGCTAATCCACTTAACCTGCACATCCCTGGACACTAGGGGCAATTTAGCATTGCCAACCCACCTAACCTGCACATTTTTGGACAATGGGAGGAAACCTATGCAGACACAGAGAGAATATGCAAACTCCACACAGACAGCTGCCCGAGAATGGAATTGAACCTGGGTCCCTGGTGCTGTGAGGTAGCAGTGCTAACCACTGAGACACCGTGCCACCCAGTTCCCATATGGGCTACACTCAGACTGTGTGGTTCTGTAACCTGAGGTTATGTCTGGAGCTCAGTTCATCGACTCAATTGCATAGTTACCATGGAGCCAGGGCTGGGGTGTGGGACAATCCCAGGCTAATGAAGAATTGGAGAGAATTACTGAAGAGGAAGAGATTCAGGAAAAAAAATGACCATGAGAAATCTTTACAAGTGGGAGAAAGTAGCCTGGCTGATTTAATATAGATATCTACCAGGAATCTCAAACTCACTTTAGAAATAGACAGGAGCTCGCCTGACAATGGATCAATGTGATGTCTGGGTGGCAGTATCTCAAACAGACTGGATTACAGGGTCACACCTGACTGGATCACAGGACAATTAGGTCACAGACAAGTTAACATACTGACAGGAAAACCACCGAGGGACTTACTGCTTCTTCCTGGGTCCACCCCTAATACGATCCTAATCCTTTAATATTGATGGCACTGCGACTGGCATCAGGTATATCTTGCCAATGCAGTCAGGGAAACACAGCATATCAACACAACGGGAGCAGTGAAAAGCTGGAAGAAAGCAGTCAGGAAATGAGGGGCTGACCTTGGGGTGGGAGGTCAAAGCGGATGTGTCGGTCAAAGTGCATTGTGTCATGGAGTTTGCTGTCACAGGATGCACAGAGATTCAGTGGAGTTTGATTGTTAATCTCCTGGCAATCACCATGGTGACATACCTGAAAGATAAAGGGACACTCTTAGTAACCTCGAACGTGGAGCAACATGTCAAACAGGGAACAATATATCAAACACAGGACTGTACACTGTTCAAAAATCAATATATTTTGTTTGAGATTTGTGTGCGTTCAAAAGGGTTCTCTTCCCCAAGTGAGCTGAAGGTTATATCTGCACATTCACTGACCATGGAGAAGAAAATTGCAGCATGCCTGTCCCCTCCCAGCTGAAATAACTCTTGTAGTGTATTCTTTTACCCTCCTCAGCTACAGAGCTCTTTATCAGAAAGGACAAAGCCATGTTATCTCAATTTCAGCTGGTCATGTTGTCCATCTGTCAGCTTAAACATATGGTCACACTAACAGGAGCAGGCAACAAGGTTGCTGAGTACATACACTATCTGTTACAGGCAGATAATGTGACAACTGAAGTTTGGTCAGCTTTTCAACCTACAACAGGGAAACTATTCACTAACATATTCAGCATTCTACCACCACCAAAAAACCTCAAACAGATTCGGTGTGAAACCTCCATTTCCTCAAACATACGCTGTTTCCCAGCCAGCCTGAGACTGACTGTTCAGTGTTTGACCCACAATGCCTTCCTGACAGGGTATTTAGTGAGGGTCCAATTCTCAGATAAAGGGAGTGCAGTTCATGGATAACAGGCCCCTCCTCATCCTTACCCCAATGTGGCTCTCTCCAAAGATGCTGTGAGAATTAGAATCATACTCTGCTGAATAAAGACCTTAAAATCTTCCTCAGTTTCCAGTCCCATGACAGGATGTGCAGTCCCAGATTGGTGTCAGGGAGGTGAGAGCTAGGCTGGAGAAAAGCTTAATGTAAGAACAGTGACTGAGAATGTCTTGTAAATTCTGCTGTTGATATCCATTTATTGTGGTGAACTCTGAACCAGTCTAGGTCTAGTCTAATACAAGACCACTCTATGCACCTCACCTTAGCACATGAAAGCTGTCATTCTGTTTCCTAACAGCTAAGAAAAGCTCCTTGTTCACAGGCACACTGTGTCTGGGACAGTTTTCTGCAACATGTCCCAGGGGTATGTCATACTTAATTTAGTAACGAGTTAAATTTAGTTAAAAGCTTAATGTGCATGAACACTTATCAAACAGCAATTGTAATACGATTAAGTCCAATGTTATGGCTGAGAGAGAGAAACATGAAACAGTGACTAAGATTCTAGATGTAAGTAAGGCCTCAATGAATGAGACAGAGTTTGTTGACAATAAACTGGGCAACTCCATTTGTGGGTAAAATAAGTGATTAATGGGTGTGGGTGTTCAATAAGATTAATGTGATATTGAACCAATTTATACCCCTAAATATGCAAAAGTTCTCCTGCCAAAAGAAAAGAAAGTCAGGAAGATATGAAGAGATAAGAAACAAAACCAAAAGAAAAGGAGTACAAATACAATCTGGTACCTGTGAATGGGGAAGATATAAAGGGAAAGGGTGACAAAGCAGCAAGCACTTGCAAGGGATTTCAAAATCAACTCAAAAATATTTACAATGACATGAAGGGGATAAAAGAGAGGTTGGTCTGAAGCATTATGGGACCATAGAAAACGTAGGAAGGCTGATAACATCAATGAAATCAGGAAATGGTAAACAATGTGGAATTATTTTGCATTAGTATATAACAGAGGAAGAGGTTAGCCTGTCAGACATCCAAAGGAATCTCTTGATGAACCGTGGACATGGAATCACAAATTAACATGTACAAAATTTTTAAAAAGTAGAAATTAATTACACGAAAGAATGTCAAATCAAGGTTTACTTCCTGGAGCTACAAAAAAAAGTGAGAACCCTGAATGTTAGAGTATCCATGAAGTTCTCTCAATTCAGCACCATTCTTTAGAAAATTATGCATCCTATTCTGCGATTTAACAAGAGTGACAGAGAGCAATCCCAGAGAATTATTAGTCTAATACCTGTTGTTGGGAAACTGCTAAAGTCTACATAAAGATAGGGTGACTGAACACTTGAACATTTTCAGCTGCTTAGAGAGAGCTGATGTGAATGTTAAGGCGGAGGTCATTCCTGATTTGTCTGTTGGAGGCTGGTAAAATGACAACATTTAGAAGGCATCTAGATGAGCACATTAATAGGAAGGATTTAGAAGCACGTCGGCCAAATGCTGGCAAATGGAACCAGATTAATTTAGGATATCTGATAGGCACAGACGAATTGGACAAAAGGGTCTGTTTCCGTGCTATAAAACTCTATGACTTAAATAATGAATGGAGGAATGTCGGGTGATGCTCCTTGTATATTCCACTCGAAGAAGGGGAATGGTTGTAAAATGGCACCATCACTGGCCCAGTAATCCAGAGGCCCAGGTTAATGCTCTGCAGACACAAGTACAAATCTCACCACAGCAAATTGGAATAAATTACAACATATCAGGCATATTTAGCCTGTCTCAGTAATGGTGACAGTGAAAACTATCAGCAAATATCATAAAAACCCAGCTGATTCACTAATGCTTTTAGGTAAGAGAATCCGCTATCCTCCCTGGTCTGAGCTACATGTGACTCCAGGCCCACAGCAATTCGGCTGATTCCAAACTGAATTCTGAAATGGCCAAGCAAGTCACTAAGTTCAAGGGCAATTGGGGATGGGCAACAAATACCGGCCTTGCAGGTGACTCCCCCATTCAATGAAGAATAAAAGGCTATGACAAAGATTTTCATAAAACTCTGTTGGATATAGAGTCAGAGAGTCATACAACATGAAAACAGACCCTTTGGCCCAACTCTTCCGTATCAACCAGGTTTCCCAAACTAAACTAGTCCCATTTGCATGTGTTTGGCCCATGTCCCTCTAAACCTGTTCTATTCATGTATCTGTGAAACTCATGAAATCATTGGGAAATCATCAACCTCATTATAGAATTGCAGAAAGAAGGAGACAAGGAGTCAGAATACAGACAGGACTCTCTTTGGCAGGATGTGAAGAATGGTGCCTGCAAGGATTGAGGTAGGGGCCTTCAAACTGCAATGCATTCATTAACATCTTAGACAGTGGAATAGAAGGCCATATGTCCAAATATGCTAATGTCAGAAAGATAACAGCACTGTAGGCAGTTTAGCTGGAAATATAAAATTATAAAGTGATAGTGGCTAATTTAGCAAGTGGGTAAAATTGTGGCAAACAAATCACAATGTAGGCAAAGATATGATCATCCACTATGGACCTAGAAAGGATATTTTCTAAATGGTGAAAAACTAAAGGCAAAGGAACGTAGAGGATCCAAGAACACAGATCACATCACAGATTGGGGAAAAAGTGACATGGGGAAGAGGATGGAGCTGATTGGGTGGGTAAAGTCAGGTTAATATTTGTACTATTTATATCGCTTATAGTTTGTAAGATCTTTATTTTGGATTGATATTGCAGAGTTGAGAGAAGAAGAGCCCTAAAGGAATTGATATTATTGGATTTTAATAAAAATCTGAAAGTTTAATTTGAAAGAGTAAGTCAGGGAAGGAGAGCTCGGGTATGCTCCCCTTGCTTGCAGTCCTGAGGTAGGTATCGGACCAGAATGCGTGCACAAAATGCCTACACCTACAGCTCCTGGTACCCAAGTGTCAGAGTCAGAGCGGTGGCTGGGTACAGTGTGGTGCCTCCACATCGCTGGAGTATTGTGGAGAACCTGTACACAGAGCTGGTCACTTCACTGGCCAACACTCCCCAGGCAGGGAGGGAATGGATGACCCCATGAGGCAGGGAAAGAGCAGATGGCATATGGTACAGAGATGCCCTGTGGCCATTCCCTGCAGTAAGGATGTACCACTTTGGATAATGTTGGAGTGAGTGCCCTCTCACAGGAAAATGGCAACAGCCAAATTCATTTATACTGTTGGCTCTGCAGTCAAAGAGAGCTGGATTAAGTGTGCGAATGCTATAGGAATAGTGGATTCAGATGTAAGGAGAATCAATAGATGTCTCTGTGGCTGTAAACTCAACTCCAGGAAGACACATTGCCTCCTGGATGCTAGGATCAAGGATGCCTTGGAGTGGTTACAGGACATTGTGGAGTGTGAATAGCAACAGCCAGTCATGGTGAATACATTGGTACTGAAGGAATAGGTACAGAAAGGGATGAGGTCCTAAAAGTAGAATATGGAGGTTGATGAATCAAGGTAAAAGGTAGCATCTCAAAGGTAATGATCTCTGGATTGCTACCAGTGCCACATGCTAGTCAGAGAAGAATGGTATATCAGATGAATACATGGCTGGACAGATGGAGTGAGGGGGAGGATTTCAGATTCCTGGGCCATTGGGACCAGGTCTGGGGAAGGTGGGGGACAGGTTGAACCCAGGCAGGACCAGAACTGATGTCCCGGGGGAATATTTCCAGCGTGGTTGAAGAAGGTTTAAACTAAAATGGCAGGGGGTTGGGAATCTATATAGGGAGACAGAAAAGAGGGAAATAAGGGCAAAAACAGTAGACAGGATGGGAAATAAGAAAAGTGATAGCAAGAATCAAACAGGGCCATTGTGCAAAATAATGTGAACAAGACTAAGACTGTTAAAAAGACAAGCTTTAAGGCCTTGTGGCTTAATGTGTAGAGCATTCACAATAAAATGATGAATTAGATGTGAAGATTGATATAAATGGTATAATATAGTTTGGATTATGGAGACATGGTTGCAGGGTGACCAGGGACAGAAGCTGAATCTTCTGGAATCTTCAGTTTTTTAGAAGGACAGACAAAAAGGAAAAAGATGATGGACTAGCATTTCTGGTTAAAGAGTAAAATTAACACAATAATGAGGAAGGATATTAGCTCTGGTGAAGTGGAATGTGTATGGGTAGAGACAGAAAAACCAAGGGACAAAAATGATATATAGATCGCCACAATGTAGCGGTAATGTTGAGGAAGGCAATAAACAGGAAATTAGAGATGCAAGTAATAAAGATACAGTTGTAATTATGGATGACTTTAATCTGCATATAGATTAGGCAAATCAAATCA